ATGTAAGAGCTTGAGCGTTACAACTGCGCTTATTGGTTTGTTTTTCACTGAAGAAAGAAAGACTTTCTCAAGTTAGCCCACCTAAAATCAACATGACATTTTTAAATTTTCGTCTGGTAAATTTAATATTAAATTATATAAAGTTAGCACTATAAAGTTCAGAAGGTTAATATTGTGTTTTCAACAAATACTCGGATTATTGAAATGAAATTCTCATTAATATAATCAAACAACCATTCTCATATGAGTTCTTAGTAGTTATTTCTTTTAATAAATAAACAAATTAAAACACTGATCATTATTATCATCATCATCGTTGCAGCCCTTCACAAGTCCACTGCTAAACATATGCCTCCCCCAAGGAAAGTCACAAAGCACGGTCCTGAGCCAGCGACATGCTTCGTCTAACACAATATTAATGAAATTTAATTCATAAGAAACTTATCATAGACGAAATTTAGTAAATCATGAAAACAAATGACTATTATGACCAATATTTAATATGATTAGTGTATTTAGAGCGTATTCTTACACTAAACAAATCAAAATAAATTTGCTTCGCTTAGGACACAAAACAATTCGTAGACGCTCCAATCGTGTCTTCCGACGACTGATTCATTATAATATTTGTCATTCCTATTTATTTGTCCTCAATTGAAAGTACAAGTAATCGTTTCAAGAGTAAGAAAAACTAACGTGGAAAATTCTAAGATATGTATAAATGGTTTAAACTTAATAAAAATACATACCGTTATCTCACACTGTTTAACAAAAATGTAATTTACAATTTCAACTGCTATCGTCGTAACTTCACAAATTTTATTTATTGACGATTTTATCAGTTTCATTATTATTTTACGATTAGACATCGTTTTCTTAACAATGTATCTATATTACAGTTCATTGAATCTATATAGCAACATTGCAAGTATATTTACCTACTTTATGTACACGAAGTGTCACGTCATCTGACATCTTATGTTCACCGTTAGCACGTAAAAGCGTGTTCAGGTGGCGATATCAAGTCACCGAGAATTTTGGCAATTCCCGTGTATCGCTGATAGCCTCATTTGACTCTGTCATGTAACTTGCTCCCGTGTAATAGGCTCGGCTCACAAAATGATCGCAGCGTGTTAACACGACAGTATACAAACACGGTGCGTTTGTTAAGGCTAATTAGGCGCAGTGTAAACCCTGCTTAACCGTGCGCCTACGGATCGCTTGCCCTATTGAGATAACTAGTCTACATTGTTTAACATTCACCTCTGATTGTTTATCGATTTACTGTAAAGCTAAGTTGTAAAGCTTTGTTCAATGCTATTGTTACAGTACGTTTGCACTGAGAAACATCCAACACGTAATGTTTTTAAACAAATCGCATAAAATAAATCACACAACATGTTTTCTTGATGGTGGCGTTCGCACTCACAAAAACTGTGTAAAATTTTCAACAGATATTCAAACTTATCTTTCAACATGACAATATTTCTGCAAATTTGTTTTCAAACATTTTGTTTCTGTAGTTATAAAGATATAATATAGTTATAATATGTAATGTACAATAAACTGTCAAACACATTTCGCTACAACATGTTCTTTGACTATGCAAACGCTTTTTGATACATTGACAGAAAACAGTGTTTAAATTATGTTTTATTGTGAAAATCGCGTCAGTGCAAACTCATGGTTAGGTTTACGATGGACTCACGTTAGATAATAAATGTCAATATTGAAAAAAATATTCCAGTCATTTGGTACGCCTAATTCTTAAATTGTTATTGTATTACGTCGCATCACATTTACAAGATTAATCATAGATTTTGCAAGAATGTGCTAGCTAGCACGCATTTCTCGGAAGATTTGTCCTCACTCCTTAAGCTTCACGTGCGTTTGGTGAGATCAGAGCTGTTGATATTGCACTGATGATATAACTCCATTACCAGACTGTGTAACTGAGTTGGTTGATAACGAAGCCAGTTATTTCGGAATCAATCTGTTGCGAAGACGCAATTCGTAAGGCCGGGTCCAGACGAGTGTAACGTGTAATGTAATCCACCGTGTAATGTAACACGAATTCTACGTGTGGACGGCACTACGAGCATTACATGTAAAGCGGGCTACATACGAGACGATATCGGTGGCGATCTAGGGTGGAAAGAAATCGGGGCTTTTATCGAGGCAGACCCTACACACGGGCCTGCCTAGCAGTACGCGTTTGGACTTGGAGCGGAACGCATATGCGGTAGAGTTCTTCAAAAGGCCTCCGACTCTCTCTACAACACCAACGTGTTGGTTTGGAATTAGCCATCTTGGTTAATTTATTCGAAAATAGAAAAAGAGGAGTTGCTGGGTGAAAAAATGGCTCCAAAGGAGTCAAAAATTAAGCCACATAAACGTACTAAATGATCTGTAATCCAAAGACATGGTTAATTTTCTCCGGATGGATGAAGACAGTTTTACAACCTTCTAGAATTTTGCTATATTTATGATTTCGCAACTTATATAAAATCATCAATTTCTCCTACCTATGCTATTTAGTTATTTCTTTTCTTTGTTCATTTCTGCTTTGGTCAAAATCGGGTTATGTACTACACACAACAAAATAAGAAATAAAATACTTTTGTATAATAATATGTATACTTTTTTTAATGTAATCTTTATTTATGGATTAAAACTATCAAAAAATAAAATAGCTTATATCTTTTTTTAAACATAAAGAAACCTTTAATTTCGGACATACTCCCTTCTATATAGCTTGTTTGTTGATGTGGAGATGGTGAAGGAGTAGGAGTTAGTTGTTGATGAGAGGATGAAGGCACGTAAGAGATCTGAGTGCGGTTTTGTGTTGATAGCGTTGGAAAAGGAGTTATTTGTTGAGGAGAGGCTTTATCCTCTCCTTACTTATTTCATACACCCTACTTTATGAACGGCAATAAAACAGTTAGTTTAGTAGGCTTTCTTGACTTCGCCAGATCACGGGCTAGGGTAGATATGATTTGAATTTCGATAGATTTTAATTAATTTATTTATTCAATTTTTTTTTGTTTTTTGTAAAATATCAGTGCCATAGGCTTCTACTCCGTTCACATGTTTAAAATGTTACGTAAAAAGGTCATTCAGTATCACTGTTTCGTTAACGTCCTTCCGCGAGGGCTGCCGGCAGCGACTGCCAAAAGAAATCGGGCCGATGTGCCTACACACACGCAGTACGGAGGGGGCGAGACCCCGATCTAGGAAGCATCGGCTGCATTTTTTGCTCCTGCCAGCCGATTAAGGAGGCGATATCGGCCACGACTTAGGATGGCCCTACATACGACACGATTTAGATGCAATCTGGGAGGCATCCTCACTACTCCACCCTAGATCGCCACCGATATCATGTCGTATGTAGCGCGCTTAAACGGGCTACATACGACACGATATCGGTGGCGATCTAGGGTGGAAAGAAATCGGGGCTTTTATCGGGGTAGACCTTACACACGGGCCTGCCTAGCAGTACGCGTTCGGACTTAGGGCGGAATGCATATGCGGTTGCGGGAGTTCTTCAAAATACCTCCGACTCTCTTAAAACACCACCGTGTTGGTTTGGCATTAGCCATCTCGGTTAATTTATTCGAAAATAGAAAAAGAGAAGTTGCTGGGTGAAAAAATGGCTCCAAAAGAGATAAAAATTAAGCCACATAAACGTACTAAATGGCCTGTAATCCAAGGACGCGATTAATTTTCTCCGGATGGATGAAGACAGTTTTTATAACCTTCTAGAAATGATTTCGCCACTTATATAAAAACGTCAATTTCTCCTACCTATGCTATTTAGTTATTTCTTCTCTTTGTTCATTTCTGCTTTGGTCAAAATCTGGTTATGTATTACACACAACAAACAAGGAAATAAAATACTTTTGTATAATAATATGTATACTTTTTTTTTTAATGTAATCTTTATTTATGGAGTAAAACTATCAGAAAATAAAATAGCGTATACCTTTTTTTAAACATAAAGAAACCTTTAATTTCGGACATACTCCCTTTTATATAACTTGTTTGTTGATGTGGAGATGGTGAAGGAGTAGAAGTTAGTTGTTGATAAGAGGATGAAGGCACGTAAGAGATCGAAGTGTGGTCTTGTGGAGTTGTAAGAGATATGAGTGCGGTCTTGTGTTGATAGCGTTGGAATAGGAGTTAGTTGTTGAGGAGAGGCTTTATCTTCTCCTTACTTACATCATACACTCTACTTTACGAACGGCAATAAAAAAATTAGTTTAGTTGGCATTCTTGACTATGTCACTTCGCAGGGTCACAGGCTAGGGTGGATATGATTTGAATTTCGATAAAATTTCAATTAATTTATTTTATTCACTTTTTTTTGGTTTTTTGTAAAATATCAGTGCCATAGGCTTCTACTCCGTTTATATGATTAAAATGTAAAAATTTTGTTATATAAAAAAGGTCATTCAGTATCACTGTTTTGTTAACTTCCTTCCGCGAGGGTTGCCGGCAGCGACTGCCAAAAGAAATCGGGCCGAGGGGGCGGTGCCCCGATCTAGGAAGCATCGGCTGATCTAGGAAGCATTTTTGCTCCTGCCAGCCGATTAAGGAGGCGATATCGGCCACGACTTAGGATGGCCCTACATACGACACGATTTAGAGGCAATCTAGGAGGCATCCCCACTACTCCACCCTAGATCGCCACCGATATCGTGTCGTATGTAGCCCGCTTTAACGCTCGCGCGGCGCTCGGGGTTGATCGGCTGTCGGTTTTTCGCGTGAACACAAAGGCGCTCGCAGTGCTCGTTTGGACAGCGTTCGTGACGTTTGCGTCGTGTGTACGTTCATGATGTGGAGTGACGAACAATCGCTTGAACTTATTAGTTTGTACCAAGAAAACCCTCTTATTAGGGATCCAAAAAACCCGCATTACTTTTAAAAAAAATCTGAAAAACGATGCATGGCGTGATATTGCTCATTCATTGGGAAGAGATGTGGAAGAATGCAAAAACAAAATGATAAGTTTGCTTGCTTCACATCGAAGAGAAAAAGGAAAAGTAAAGAAGAGTCATAGTTCCGGAAAAGGTATGTTTTATTATAAATTTCTGTTGCTTTACATATCATATACTTTTATTTATTAATTTAGTTGTTACTTAGGTATTATCACTTACTTGCTATTAGTACAATTATTACGTCTATTGTATGATCTTCCGACCTTGTCTTTTTTAAAACTGTTGTTTTATTTCTTGTAATTTATTTTACAGGTGGGGATGAAACGTACAAAAGTACATGGTTTGCTTACAAGGCGTTGGCATTTTTAGAAGATCGAAATAATCAAGGAACGACGCAACACAGAGGTAACTGCATTGAACTAGTCCATTCGCCTTGATAAAAAACTTAACAATATGTATTCTGCCAAGAAACTGTACCCTCGTTCATAAAATAGTCATTAAACTCATCTCTAATTTGTTTTGCTGTTAAGGCAGCCCTTCTAGGTACATTATTCAATGGAAGTAAAGATGACATTTCAGTATCTCTCCGCCAACTACCTTCACATAATCTTCCGTTTTGGTCACTGTCAAGTGATCCAGGGGGTGCATACAAGTTTTTAGATGAATCCGTGTTTCTCAAAAAATTATGCAAGTGTGCAATAGCCATGACTATAGTCTCCACGGTTTCGGGCTGAAGGAGCATAGGTTTTCGTAAAACTCTGAACACAGATGCTGTGATATCAAAACATTTTCTACAATCCTGCGAGCTCTGCTTAACCGGTAATTAAAAATTCTTCGCGGCGATCCCTTGAGGTATTCTCCTGGATAGCGTTTCATTATATTGTTTTGTAAAGGGAAGGGAAGGAAGCTTTGTTTCTACCTTGCAGTGCTTCAGATGCAGGCAATCTTAACGAATTATTTTCTAGCTTTCTATATGATTCAGTTTCTTTAAAAATTCCACCATCTGAAATTCGGGCTTGACATCCGACATCCAGAAATTTATAATTATATTCCGCGTCTACTAAAGCAAACATCACTATACTGAAATTCGATTTGTAGTTACGATATTCTGTGCCACTATGTACCGGAGCCTCAAGAATGACATGTTTACCGTCCATGGCTCCGGCACAATGGGGAAAATTCCACAATTCATCAAATCTGTTTGAGATCTGGATCCATTCTGACTGTTGTTGGCATCTGAAACAATGAATTTCTATTTTATTACAGATTACACATAAACCGGAACAGAGAGCATCTGCAAGTGCAGAAAATGATAACAGTTCAGAATTTATATCACCAACTGGTCAGGCCCCCAAAAAAAGAAATCAGACGAAAATAAATAAATGGGTATGCTTTCGGAGGCTCTTGGCCTGTTTAAGAGTGCTGGTTCTAGTCCTACTCCTGAACCCCGAAACAATAATCCAAATAATTTTGACAATGAAACCCTTTTCTTTTTAAATTTTATATGCAGCAAGGTGCAACAATATAACAGAAGTACTAAAAATGCCGTGACGCAAAAATGGATATAATATTCAAAGGTGATGAAGGATGCACTTACTTTTCTCAACATTATAATCCATCGGCATTCAATTCTCAATTCAATTACAGTGGGTATACAACAGGCTCGGTTCCTTCATCAAGATACTGCAATGAACTACTACTATAGTTAAGGGTATTCAACAGGTCAGAATCAGACAAGTTACCCTACAGCTCCATGTGCTTCACCTGTTCCCTCAGAATCATCCCAAATTTCATATGAAGATGTAGATTTTGTGAATTGAAAAAAAATGTACTACATAATTGGAAGATGCAGACTATGTCAATAATTTGATTTAACTTTCTAACTGTAATTTTGGAATAATTTTAATTTTGCTTACCCTACTTAATACAATACCTTAATTTGTTATTTTAATAAATAAATAATATGTAAAACTCACCTTAATGTTTTCTTTCAATGCTTCTATGATCGCTTCACAAACTTCTGGTACAGTACAAGACATTGACTGTTTTGAAATTCTGAAGGTGTATTGAAGGCTTGTATATGAATCTCCTGTTGCCAAAAATCTTAGTGTTAGAGCCAGTCTATCTTGCGGCGAAATTGCAGATCTCATTATAGTGTCTTGTCTTGATATTTTAGGCGCAATGATTGTTAACAAATATTCGAAGTCAGTAGGCGACATCCGGGTAAGGTTTTTATATTGACCACTTATATGCTCAGATTTTAGTTCCAAAAGTAAAGAAGATCTTATTTTATACAATTTAGTTTTCCACCTTTGAGTTCGTGGGCCGTCCACACTGTTGACGCTAAATTACACATAATCTTACATTTCACGTACACTCGTCTGGACCCGGCCTAAGTCAGCAGTGTGCTTCGCGAGCAGAGGTTAGCCAGAGAGTTAGCTAGTGAGTTAATTGGAGAAAAATATTCTAGTTGTCGAGAAATATACGAGATAATATAATTTGGCATATTTCCCCATTTCTTATTTAGATAACATAATATAAACTGTCATTATAATATCTTAAAGTAAACTAACTGATACTAAGTAAGAGTACAAAACATTGTTGTTTTGTTTCAAAGCTTTGTTATCTAACGCGATAACACGCAAGTATTACACTTTCCCTAGTTTTGCTAGACTGATTTATTAGCTCGTATATAGACAATAAAATTACAGTATGATTTACGTTTCTATAAGTCTAACGAGTTCTTTTTCCATCGCAACAAGATATTTATTTGAACTTAAATTGAACAAATTCTATTCCAAACAAATTCGACTCCATTTCACTCAGTAAATGGATTATTCGATTGAAAGTTAAAGAAAATATTTGATCAGGATTATTTATGTTTGATAATGTTTTGAATCGTCCTCATATAAGTTTTTGACCGTTAACTACTTCTACTTATTATAATTGATTAGATTATTTTAAATACATGTAATAGTAAATATATGTTGTTTAATAGTCTACCTAACAGCGATGCAATGATTAAAAGAATTTGCTGAATGTAATATTGATAAAAATACTCAAGTGCTAAACGAATTTACAGTCCACCATTTTAGTGGTGAGGCTGTAAACTGGTATACTTGGTGGCTGCAGCAGTTCATATACACCTGCAAACAACTTCATACAAAAAAGGCTACAAATGCGTTGTGACCTATATTCCGTCACGATGTCTACGAACTCTAAAAACTGTCATCATTCCATCTAAAGCCTCACGGCCTGTTATTATACTGGCTCTCTATACCCTCCAGGCCGGAATAAAGCAGTACAAGCACTGTTATTTTGCAGCAGAAATAGATACGAGGGTGGGACCCCTACGGATGCAACGGAGGCCTAGTAATTTAAGTTTATTTTTATTTTTATAGAACAGCTAGTGAAATTAATATAAAAATGTAATAGTATTTAAATAATAGTGTTTTACGGATTATATCGTGTATATTAACATTTTTATATACCCCACGTTTCGAGCACTTTACAGCATCCATGGTCACGGGGGAACCGATATCTTCAACGTCCAGATGTCGTAGTTAACCGCGGTTACCATTGATTAAAATTATTTATATTCGTTCCGATCTATGCAGTATGTACTTATAGTATCTTGAAATCTTGCAGTTGTATGCTTGCGATATAATCCTTAAAAAACTACTATTATTTAAATGTGTAGTGTTCGCGTAAGTATAAGAAATGGTAAATTTAATAGTAGCTCTCAAATTTTCATATTGAAAATGAAAGTGTTGCGGTTGTTGAATTTCCTTATTCTCAAAGATAAATTAAGCGGAAAAAAAGAATGGGCAAAGCTAAACCTACAAAACGAACACTAAAGTTGTAGTGTTATGCTACTTATATATCATTTTACACTATTTTAAATTTATTTTTCCATTTTGTTTTTGATTTTCTGCATTCACCTCAAAACTGGATATTTTGCATCACCTTTATTTCCATAGGATCCTGTAACGTTTTTAAACCATAAGAACACAATAACAAATCATTTTCACTTCGTATTTTCACGCTATCAGCACTTTTTAAATCGGTGTCAACGGAGAACTAAATAAAAGATCGAAAAAGGTAGACTCCATTGACACCGATTTAAAATGTGCTACAGGATCCTATGGAAATAAAGGTGATGCAAAATATCCAGTTTCGAGGTGAATGTAGAAAATCATAAACAAAATGGAAAAATAAATTTAAAATAGTGTAAAATGATATGTAAGTAGCATAACAATACAAAGTATAAAATTTATATGATAAGCGTAGGCATTGGTCATCTCTTGCACGAAGGAACTGGAAGTAGAAAGGAGAGTTGGTAAACATCGTGACGGAATATAGGGTTGTGATAGTGTAAATTTAAATAACGCTTTCATTATTCAATTGCGAAATTGATTAGTAACAAGCTATGGAATTGCCGTGCAGTGGCAGCGTAATATAATCAGCCTTAATTATTTTTTATCGACTAACTTTCTATTTAAAATCGATTTTATCATCTTTGTTATAAATATAGGTATAAGTATACATAATACAAATATTACACAATTATGTAAGATAAATATATAAGGTAACATGAATGTAATTTGTTGACGTTCATTTACGATCATCGAAGTATCTAAGAAGCTTTATGCCAAAGTGTTAACTTAAGGGAATATGGTAAGGGTCCAGATTGAAAGCCGGGTCACGACAGGTTGAGTGTGATGCGTGAATTCTGTAGTACTAACGCGGGTTATTAATTCCAAGGCTCGAAACATCGCTCATACATAACCCACGTTAACAGCTATCATCAATCACATGAAGTTTCTAAGGTGTCTGACGCACCTTTATGTCCTTATTTGAACTGTATACCTACTGATCTTTTCAATAGCGACAAGTTTTCTAAAGTATCTTTTTTGTATTGATGACTGCGGAGCCTAGTAAGTTTTTTTTTATAGAGGTTTGAATGATCAACAAACACCCGACAACTTGTGTGATGTGTGACTACTGTGGTCCATAGACACCTATACCTACAAAATGGTCAGACGCTTGTATTTTATTTAAAACTATTATCGACCTCCCCCCCCCCCCCCATTATATAACTATTAGATTTACACAGTTATAATTGAAATAGTGTGCTTTACTCCATAGCACTTCCATGAAAGTTGCACATTCTTATAGAATATAGATCTTATGATTTAAGCATGTTTTGTAGATCTTGGCAGCCGTTTAGACCTCAACAACGTTTGTACCGGACTAAGTTTCCTTTTCACCTACATTTAACCATGTACAAATTTGTATTGTACGAATGTGGCCTACGAAAATATAAAATAAATCTTCTCTAGTACAGCATAATTTACTTTTAATCAAAAGCTAATTAAACAGCTCATATGAAAATTAATTAACAATAGTGGCGCGACGTCCGTAACAAAGTCCCCATTGCTTTTATAACAAGTTTCATTTTACTTCGATTGTCCCCGGACAAAATTTCGTCTATTTGGCACAACGTCGGTCCGAAGTTCTCCAGTTTCAATGGTTGCAATTAACATTTTGTCGCTAGAGAACGTCGCCTGTTAAACGAAACTCACTATACGCAGGTCCCTCGCTAAATTAGCACAGGTCTCAACTTCCAAACTAGAGACGTATTAACCCAACTGAGCGATATATTTGATGGTGCGAAGGTTTCGCGTATCCAAACACTATACTACTGTATACATAGGAATATTAAAACTAAATCAACGTTGTCCGTTGTTACGTGTCTTCAAATTTTCAAATAATTTGAATCCGTACTGTGAACAAAGGTATTCCATTAAAGTTTGCACAAACAAACATCTTACGTACATGTCATGACTCATGATGCTACGAAATTTTATTTTATGTGTTTGGATTTTGTTATTAGCTTTGTTTGTGATTTATGTAACTTGACCTTTTGTTATTTATAGATATTTTTGTAGCGGTAATATCATGCGTATAAGGGCAATGGGTGATAATATATTGTTATCAACGGTTCTAATAATTTTAAATAAAGTAAAAAATCAGCTACCCCTTAAATGGACCTTTGAACAGGTAAGATTCCACCGCACTGTATATTTTAGATCTCCATTCTATATTTCGTGTAGGTGGACGACTATAATGGTATTTACTCCCTATTTTAATGTTAGTTGAAAAAAAAATGAAGATCTCTCTGCTTATCTGCCTCATAGGGCCGATAGTTGACACAGTTGCCATACTTGACAGGCGGATTAACAACAGTCGTTTTTTAGTATTTTGAGTTATTATCACGAAGATGCATAACACTTGTTTCATTTCTCTCGTTCGCCTCTTCCGACACCTATGGGGTAGACGTAATTTTTTTATAGGATAAGGTGACAAACGAGCACACAGTCCACCTGATGGTAAGTGGTTCCTGTGGTCCATAGACATCTACATCTATCCTCGATTACGAATCAAAATGCAGACACGTTGTCACCCGTGAGGACTAAGATGGAATGATTCGTTTCCAGTAAAAAGTGTCTCCGGTTCTCTAAATACGAAACACAGCAGCATTAAGCTGGTATTCTGTGAGAGCGTGGTCCTTCCCCAGTCGTGCCGACCCATTCGTGCTACAACTACACTACTAATATAACCGCAGCATGGCTCTACCACGTCAAAAATTTTGTAAATTTCGTAATGTTAAGTAAACCGATCCAGTTGCTTGCAAAAATGTGTTATGTTTCTGAAAGATATAACTAACACTCCTTTCGTATGAACCTGTTTCAAATCAACGCCATTCAAACTTATTCTTCCGTTTACGCTTTGTATTTTCATTCTTTTTTTATTAGCAAATGCTCGGGGGTCAAAATTAGGGGTGAATAACTCGCTGTTGTTAATTCGTCGGGGTTCCGACGAAAATATGTCGCTCAATCGTTTGCATCGCGACTTTGTTACAGTTTAATGAACCATGATTGTGTTGCAGCGCCCCGCTAAATCGGATTTTGACAGTCATTGTTAGTTATACTATTTCTGTACAAGTGCCAGTTGCAATTTTTATCGACATTTGTTGATGTTTTCGCCATATGTTGGACATGGGATTGGTTTTTTTATTAGCCTTTGAATGAATAACAAATGACTTCAATTTAGTCGCGTGTTTGTTCTTTAGTCATTACTTTCAAAAGAAAATATGTTAATTTAATTACTTTTAGCCTTATTTATGATTATTGGATGTAAAATATTTTTGAAGTTTAAGAACTTAAGGGGAAATATAACCTCAAATGGCTTAGCAAGATACTCCATTATGCCGAAAGTATTGCAAATAATATGTAGGATTAATGTTAAGGACTATGTTAGACAAAAACACGATTCCGTAAAATTTTCTCGATAGAAAAAAAAATCCAAAGTTACCTCCAAACTGAACAATAAACCGCTGTTATTGATAAAACACTTTAAATAAGATCATGAAACTTTGCACACTAACTGAACTAACTATAAAGCAGTGCTTATGTTATTTACTTTTTTTAAATACCATTATTTTCACTGTAAAAAGAAATTACGTAAAGCGGGCTACATACGACATGATATCGGTGGCGATCTAGGGTGGAGTAGTGGGGATGCCTCCTAGATTGCCTCTAGATCGTGTCGTATGTAGGGCCATCCTAAGTCGTGGCCGATATCGCCTCCTTAATCGGCTGGCAGGAGCAAAAATGCAGCCGATGCTTCCTAGATCGGGGCCCCGCCCCCTCCGTACTGCGTGTGTGTAGGCGCATCGGGAATGCCTACCAAACTAATTGTTTTATTGCCGTTCATAAAGTAGGGTGTATGAAGTAAATAAGGAGAAGATAAAGCCTCTCCTCAACAACTAACTCCTATTCCAACGCTATCAATACAAGACCGCACTCATATCTCTTACGTGCCTTCATGCTCTCATCAACAACTAACTCCTACTCCTTCACCATCTCCACGTCAACAAACAAGCTATATAGAAGGGAGTATGTCCGAAATTAAAGATTTCTTTATCTTTAAAAAAGATAAATAAAGATTACATTTAAAAAAAGTTTACATATTATTATACAAAGGCATATAGGTATATATACATAACCCGATTTTGTTATTTTTTTGTTTTTTGTGTGTAGTACATAACCCGATTTTGACCAAAGCAGAAATGAACAAAGAGAAGAAATAACTAAATAGCATAGGTAGGAGAAATTGATGTTTTTATATAAGTTGCGAAATCATAAATATAGAAAAATTCTAGAAAGTTGTAAAAACTGTCTTTATCCATCCGGAGAAAATTAATCATGTCTTTGGATTACAGACCATTTAGTACGTTTATGTGGCTTAATTTTTTATCTCTTTTGGAGCCATTTTTTCACCCAGCAACTCCTCTTTTTCTATTTTCGAATAAATTAACCAAGATGGCTAATTCCAAACCAAAAGTTTGGTGTTTTAAGTGAGTCGGAGGCATTTTGAAGAATTCTACCGCATATGCGTTCCGCTCCAAGTCCAAACGCGTACTGCTAGGCAGGCCCGTGTGTAGGATCTGCCTCGATAAAAGCCCCGATTTCTTTCCACCCTAGATCGCCACCGATATCGTCTCGTATGTAGCCCGTTTAAACTATCGGCACGTAAGCTTGATTTCTGTCGCCCCGTTAGTATCGCTCTGGCTTTTGAAGGGAGAATTTGTGTCGCTTACGATCAGCATACACATTACGCAACAGGACGACGTAAAATTAAAATGGGAAATAACCGTGATAAAAATAAGAAGCGACTGGGTTAGCGTAAAGAAACAGGCATAAATATGATAACCCTAATGAAATAAGTATCTAACGTCCTATCTACTTACAATATTAGTGATTACAAACATGTCGGTACATAGCATACGACGCGCGGGGAAGTGGGAGCGAAATTAGAATTTGAGCTGACTTACTATATCCCCTTAAAGAGATTATTTCGCTATATTTTTGAAAAGAGAACCTGATCTGAAGTAACACAATTAAGTCTCCTTCACGTTCAGAGAAGCGACACCTTGACAGGCGGCCCTTGTGGACGAAAGACAGTCTGTCTTCTTGTCAGGCGACAGCACTTACTGAATTGCTTTTGCCACCTGCTCCATTTTTAAATAACAATTTCAGATTGGCCTTCCTCGCTTTGTAAATTAACCTGACAAAATTCCACGGCGAAATATATGAACGAAACAAATAAAACGACGCCGCTATTGACCCGATTGAATCCAGCAGCTAACTTAAAATTTTTCAAGCTAACAGTCCGATCGTTTTGGCAAAAAATGGTGATTCCATTTTTTTATATAAATTCAAAACGTCACCGTTGTAAATGAAGGAATATCCTCTGACCAAAACAAACGGCCTACAGAATAATTCAACTGTAATGAAGAAGCGGTCATGCAAAAAAATAATTGGTTCCTCCACAAAGGCAGTCATCTATTTCCGATGAGCGAAAAATTTTAATTTTTTTAAACTTTAAACGGGTTCAACTTTAGGAATGAATTTAATTTATTCAAAAGAGTTGCGTAAATTGCAGTTATATTTTTACAGTTACAAGGAAATAACTGCCACATATAGACTTAAATAACTATTTTATAATAATTGAATATTGGGCCAAGAGTAAGTTGGGCCGGGCTCAAGCTTAAAATAGCGACTTATTATGGTTATTATGGGTAGCAGCATCCTCCTTATAACAATTCAATAATAATAATTATTATTATTATTGAATTATAGGCGCATTATAGGCGCCAAACTTTCCACGACTGGACGCGCTACTGGACAAAGTAGCGCTATCCCAGCCTGGAGAATAAGAATTGAAGAACGTATCGCAAAGGCTATGGCCCTCATCGGCAGACTGATATGCTTCAGGTCAGGCAACAACAGGCCAAGGATAGTGCGCACCGTCAAGATGGCATTTGCTGGGACAAATGTTAGTTTGTCCCGAGTCAGTGTGCGAGTATTACGCCCATGGACCCCGTCATCATAACGCCGGATGACGTAGCTCAGGCGGTCCGTAGAGCTCCGAACTGGAAAAGTCCGGGACTCGACGGGCTGCATCACTACTGGCTTAAGGGGTTCATGGTGTGTCACGCTGTGCTCGCCCGTCAGTTTCAAGAGGCTCTCAACCAGAAGTCGCTCCCTAGCCTCTTCACTACTGGGATCACTCATTTGGTTCCTAAAGACCAGGTTACCACAGACCCGAGCAAATACCGCCCCATCACGCGTCTACCGACCATATACAAGACACTAACATCTATTTTGGGCGCGAGATTTACTCGTCACCTGGACTCAAATCAGGTGATGTCGCGTGCTCAAAATGGATGTCGGGGCGGTGGTCGTGGAACCAAGGAACCACTTCTCATTGACGTGGTCATTGGCAAAGTGGTAAAACGCAACCGTCGGAACTTCTCCGCCGCCTGGATAGATTACAGAAAGGCATTCGACTCTGTTCCCCATACATGGCTAAAGAGGGTCCTCGAGCTGTACAAGATTGACTGTACAGTTAGAGACTTCCTCGAGCAGTGTATGGAGTAGTGAAGTACGATCCTCTGTCATCTAGGCGAGCGGATGACAGCTTCGGAAAGCCGCATAAGGATAAGAAGGGGTACATTCCAGGGCGACTGTCTGAGTCCAATCTGGTTCTGCCTCTCTTTGAACCCTCTCAGTACTATACTGGAGGGCTCTGGGAGGGGATTTCAGCTTCGGAAAGGAGGTACAAAAGTGACCCACCTTTTCTATATGGATGACCTCAAATTATACGCCTGCAGTCGCTCCCATCTTATGGAATTGCTAAACATCACTCGTGAATTTAACACTTCTATTAGAATGGAGCTGGGGACGGATAAGTGTGCGGTGCTCCATGTTGAAAGGGAAGGGTTGCTAACTCTGAGGGCATAGACTTATCTATGCCCGTCAACTTAAGGACCCTTTCCGAGGCTGAAACATACCGATACCTGGGTATGTCACAGAACATCGGTATCGATGAGGCTGGTATAAAACATATTTGCGACGTGTTTTATGCACGCCTGACCAAAGTGCTTAACAGCCTTTTGTCCGGTGTGAATACACGCATATAACGGCTGGGTCATGCCTGTCATGTATACCTTTGGCATACTCAGGTGGAGTCAGACTGAACTAAACGCCCTGGATAGAAAAGTCCGCACTACAATGATGTCCCATAGGATGCATCATCCGAGATCGTCGGTAATGAGGCTGTACTTGCCGCGAAAGCATGGTGGGCGTGGCTTCCTGAGCGCGCTCACCGTGCATAATTGCGTAGTGTGCAGCCTCCGTCAATACTTCCTGGCGAGATCGGATGATCCATTCTATAATGACGTGATAAAGGACTTACACCTCTATCCTTAGCCAACGAGCAATGGCAGGACCCGGCAGTACATGGCATTTCCGACCGGGAGACCGTATGGAAGGAGAAGGAGCTCCACGGGAGCTACTACAGGGCTCTACATGAGCCCCACGTAGATACAGCCGCCTCCTTCAACTGGCTACGTTTCGGTGACCTCTTCGGGGAAACCGAGGATTTTGTCCGTGCAATACAGGATCAGGTTATTAAGACTAACTATCGGAGATACATCCTAAAGGATGGCACTGTCGACGTCTGTCGAGCTTTTCGCCATCCCGGTGAGTCACTTAGGCATGTCATCTCCGGTTGTTCGGCGCTTTCTAACTCTGAGTACTTGCACAGACACAACCTAGTAGCCTGAACTCTTCACCAGGAGCTCGCTCTGAAATACGGTCTCGTGGATCGGAAACTGCCGTATTACAAGTACTTGCCGGAAGCCGTGCTCGCTGCTCCTCGATACAGCCCGCATCGTCCGCCGGTTTGATTCCCTTTCCCCCTAACCCTCGGCCGTTTGGTCTCTCCTGCCGAGGCCCTCCATCTGGTTGGGCTTTTATTTATTTATGTATTTTTATATTTATTTAATTTTATTGATATTTATGTATATTTATCTTTTCATTTCCATTTTATATATATATATATATATATATATATATATATATATATATATATATATATATATATATATATATATATATATATTTATAGAACCCAACCAGATCAGAAAACTATATTGATACCCCCCAATAATAATATGTGGCCGTGGTAGGAAAAGGGGAGATCTCCCGCCGGGCAAGGTGTTCTGCCCGGGGAGCGGCCAACACTCCGAGTGATAGTTCGGAGAAGTTCTATATATACTGTCTATGAATCGGAATGTTAATAGCGCGATTTAGGCTTCGGTGTGTTTCGGTGTGCTAGTGGCGCGACGACCAGCGCCGCTACATCACCCCCCTTGCTCAGACCGGAGGTCGATAGTGCAGTCTGGTTGTCGACGAATGTGTAAGTGCCAGTGGATTGCCTTGTAGTCTGCGGTGAGTCGAGAAGAAGGCAAGTAATCTGCGAGAGTGCCGTGAAGCACAGGCGAGCAGTAAGGCTCAGAGCCGTGCCGAACACTGTATAGCGCAGAGAGTAGCTTGAAGGAACAGGAAGCATTATTATTCCAGTGCTGCGATGAACCTTGTGAAGCTAGATGGCTTGCAGGATATGAAGACTACAGACGATATCTGCTTGGGAGTGAATGGGTGGGGTATTCTATGACGATGATGAAGCTTGAAATTTCCGAAGGTTGTTTGGTTGCGCGTGTTCAGATCACGTCGGGGTCACCACTGTGGCCGTGGTAGGAAAAGGGGAGATCTCCCGCCGGGCAAGGTGTTCTGCCCGGGGAGCGGCCAACACTCCGAGTGATAGTTCGGAGAAGTTCTATATATACTGTCTATGATTCGGAATGTTAATAGCGCGATTTAGGCTTCGGTGTGTTTCGGTGTGCTAGTGGCGCGACGACCAGCGCCGCTACAAATAATAATAATAAACATTTTGTAACTCGCTATGTGCCATGCGCCATGTGTATCTATATATGTATAGATGGAGTGACGACCTGGTAAGACATGCAGAGAAAGTCGATGGACGCAGGTGGCTCAGAATCGTGCTTTGTGGCATTCTCTGAGGAAGGTCTATGTTCAGCTGTGGACTAGTAATGATGATGATGATGAATAAAAAACTGCGGTTTGCAACTCCCCTGTCTATCGTGGCAACTATTACTAATCTATTCTCATGTTACAATTTATGGGAGAGGATTACGCTCAGCAATGAACTTTTAAGCTGTAATGAATAAACGAAATGAATGGCAACTGTGCTAAGAAGACTTCAGTTAACTTAAAATACCACTCAATGTTCCTCAACCTCCGTAAGTATGTAAAGCAGCGAATATAATAAAATCTTAAATGAAGTATGAACTGTTAATTCATTCGACACAATAAGCTTTAAAATTAAAACAAAAGATTTCATAAAAAGAAGAAGAGGTTCATAAAAACAACCAGCGAAATATTCGCCAATCATAAGAAGAGTCGAAAGTACGCAACGTTGAATGCATTGTATTAAATAAGTTTCGCGAAAAATTATCAAGCATTTCGCCGTTCATTGTTTGACTTTTTATCGTCCGTAATACGACACGGTTGCTCGGTTCTTGTTCAACTTCTCGAAATTTTATTTCTGTGAAAATTTTATAACTCTGCATATACGTTGCGCTGATTGGATTTATGTCTACCTCAAAATGGTAACTATGATGTTTTTCTTTAACAACTACGTTATTATAACTTCTATTGTACTTGAGATATTCACCAAATGTATTTATTTTGTCGAAACCTTGGTCTATAGCTACAAGGATCTGACAACACTAAGGGAAATGGGCAGGACGTCGTCTGCCGAGCCAGGTAGTAATATTTTTATAAAAATTGATATCTTCCATAATTAGAATAACAAATCGACTTACAATTCTTCTGATTATAAGGGGGTTCTGTGGTCACCTGTAACCAACTTTACACGTGCAACTATTTCTCGCGTCTTAGACGTTGTTTCACTTACACTGAAATCTATGTCTGGGGTTTTTAAGATGATCAACTTGTCTGTAGTTGGCTGCAAAACAGACTACCAGCGTAAAATGGCGGCATAATGCTACTGCGTTTCATATGCTTACTGATGAAAACCGGAGAATTCTGCATAAAAATATGGCAGTACTACATTAATTAAATAATGCAAAGAAATTTTGAAATTATGCATTTCGTGCTACTGCCACGAATTAATGCTATTCAAACAGTAACGCCGGCAACGCAAACATTTCACATAACCGCTTAACTGCGCGATGGAATGTATGATCATTTGTTTACGGCTATTTTGCATATAGATTGTCCGCAACGTTATGAATTGTATTAAGAATAAATTACGCCATATCAAATTTCCACTTTTGTCATTGCCCAAAATGAAGGCCTTACGTAACCCATAGGGATCAACGTCAAACATCGTCACAAAACGTTTTCAATAAAAGGATCGCGGAAAGTTTCGTCAAATTTCGTATTCCACTACCATTTGCCTCTTATTATGCTAGCGTCATTCAGCTCCCATAGACCTCCTTTACGCGACCTTTGCCAAAATTTGATTTGCTTAGGCTCACTCGAGCGTCGTTTGAAATACGCTTATCGCTGGGACAAATTTTACAGGATTAAAGGCACATTAAAGTGAAAATTTTAAAACATGAATTTATCTAACTAGGAACTCCAAACGGCTAAAGTTTTACAGTAGCAATGATCGTCTTCTCAAGCTTTTTTACGTCAGAAGCTGTAAAAGACAAAAAGTTTAACTCAGTTTATTGGACATCAAACATAAATGAAAAAGTTTTCGTCTTAACGTTTAGGCTCGGTACCTGCCGAATAAAACATTAGGAGATATTCATTTCAATTTCTTTTATACGAACTGAAGTAATATTTTATTTTCAAAACTTTTGATCCACTACACTCGATTCATAAAGAAGAAAGCCTCGAAGGAAGTCTGGGAATCAAATGAAATTCGCGAGATAGTTTCCTACAAATTATCTTAAACGTTTTAACTGTTTTGCATAACTAAGTCGTCAGAAAGCTTCTCTTCGGAGATTTAGTCAAGTTTATGTGTGGCTAAACTTCTTCGTTTTGAGAAATGCCTATAGCAGTCAAGAAAACCTTTTTATATAAATTATATAATTCAATGCCCGATATCGATTCTCCTTTCTATTTTTTTCTTTCGTCCTAAATAATGTCATACCTTCCTTTTAATTTACCTTTCA